GCAGGAACATATAGCCTGTTCTTCAGACTCCAGCTTGGGAGGACATCAAAGAGACTCGGCCGTCGGGTCTGTAATTCCGAGCAGATTCATGGGTGGGATATAAAACCTGCACGTTTCCAGCTAACAACGTCGGACGGTCAACATGCTAATAACCAGTGTTATTTGGACAATCCAGGGAGCTGGGTTCTTTACCATGTCGGAGATTTTGATGTTGAGAATCCTAATGCATTCACAAAGATCAAATTTTCAATGACTCAGATTGATTGCACTCACACCAAAGGAGGGCTATGTGTTGATTCTGTTTTAATATACCCCAGATGCAGTAGCTTGGGAAAAGAGGTTACATCGTGGTTGCAAAGATAGCGAACTCCTCCTTATCTTCTTACAGAACTTAGAAAAATATATACTTTTTGTTTTTGCGCATAAATTTATGGGATTTTTGGAATATGAAAATGGTGTTCATTTAGGTTTTTTTTTTTTTTTTTTTTTTACATAGAGATTCGCAATTAAATTCTAAATCTATAATTAAAAGTACAAATAGATTTATCATATTAGTGGTATGGTATTCATTTAATAATAGTTAAATATGTAAATTATCCTTTAAAATTGTCATGTTGAATCAAATTGTAATAAAAAAAATCAAATGTAGTTAAATTTTGTTAAAATATTACTTTTAAAGTCTAATAAAAAAATTAACAATAATTATTGAATTTATATTGATTTTTTAAAAATAAAAACTTAAGATAAAAAATTACATTAACATTATTTATAACATTGATTTTAACTGACAATTTATTTTAATATAATAATTTTTTAGAGAAATTTGCCCTTTTCCCATTTGTAATTAGTGTCTATCTTCGCCCAAATTGTAAACTAAACAGGGCTTCCTCCTAATAAAATAGAAACATAGAAGGTCCATTAGGCCCAACTTAACTTGTAGTCTGTAGAGATGGTTATCGGCTGAAGGGTTCAGCGCAACAATTTTTTTTTTTTTTTTTTGGTTTTTGGATGAATGGGAAACTCTTATTTTTTATCATCCATGATTCATGAAAGTGGCTGTGGGCAA